GAATGATGAACAGACCCTCCAAGGAGGGCCTTATAATGAAATTAGGCTTTTTTTCCCCCTTTTTCTCCCCCTACTAGCTAAAGATATGATCATGCTGGATATCCAGGCTGATGCTCACTGGATAGTCTAACTTTAATCCAACTTTTCACAGCACATCCTTCAACTTACATTTTCATGTTTCATGTGCTTAAGCAGCCGTAGTTCTCGGTAGGTCCTTTTGGCATGGATAATAGACTGAAATGGTCGGGACAGCTTCTTCACAGCTACACGCAAGCCCGTTTTGGTGTCAAAGGCAGAACTACAATTAAAAAAAATCAAATTAGCAAAAAGAGATATTTATAAACACTTCCAAACCCACGGTTTTAGCAAGAATCTGGAGCTCAAGGAACTAAGGTAGATATTTAGCTGCAAATTTAATTGCTCCTCTTTCTTATCTCCTTTGATATTCTTATCTAAAACTAGCTCTGACTTGTCGAAAAGGAAGGAGGAGGAGAGGCAGAGGATGTGAAATCAAGGCTACACTGTAAGCATGACAATGAACATGGAAAGTATGAAAGCAGAAAGTTAGAGACAACATTTGTTCATTTTCCTGCTGCGTTCTGATTCAGGTCAGACTCCTAATACCACTTAAAAGTAAGTATGCACTAGTTCTTGATAAACATTAAGCAAAAGGAAAAACCTTATGTTTACAGTGTGAGGCAACTCCAGTAATAGTAAGTCCAGTACCAAACACAGAAGGGGAAAAAAAACAGCCATAAAACAATCCCCAAATTGTGCATACAAATGAATTTACAGTTGTCATTTATTCTTAAAGCAAACTAATTGGACCTAACTTGCAACAGACTTCTTACCCCAAAGTTGTACAGTTTCCAAATTGCTTTATGAGAAATAGGAGAACTAAACCACAATATACAAACTTATTTCTACAAGCAGTAATCCTTCTCCCATGTTTTGCAAGAGAATGGAAAAACCCACTGTGTGGCTATGATGGAATATCGCTTTCTGCATAAGGGACATCAGTGCACACATGGAAGAGAGATGAGAATACAGCTAGAACAGAGCAGCACCAAAGTGCCATAGCTGAGCAAGTGAAATCACATCCTACTTTCCCCAAGAACTCATGAAATCTACTATTTTCTTCCTTATGTGGGTTACCTTCTAGACCTCACTCAGTCTGGACAAACAAATCATTCCAGAGTATCTCACCAAGTTTTCATACACTGCTAGTACATGTCTCTCTGTTAAGCTGCAAACATGGCAAGAAACACTGAATATCATTTTTTAAGCTTCATGAATATTGTTTTGCAATAGAAAAAAAATACACTTAATTCAAGGCCTAATTGTATGGCAACATTTTAGCAATGCTCAAGGTGTTTTCTAGGACTTGGTGCAAAAATAAGATTAGTCATCACAGTTTAACCCAGAATGCTGTGAATTAGTCATGAATCTTCAGCAGCTTTCAACTATTTCAGATGCAAAAAAAAAAAAAAAGGCATAATATACTAGTATTTTTTTCATCTTGGAAATAAGGGGATCCCCTGCATATTAACCACCTTAACAGCTGCCATGTCTATAATCAAATTTCCTTCTCCATTTCCACAAGATTCTCTTTAGAAATTTCAGAAATACAGGACATAAGCTATTTGTGAACCCACTGACAACTGATTCCACCTCATTTTCATGACATTTTGGGGTCACATCAACTCATCAATCTGTAACAGTAAAATTACAATCAGAATAACCAAGAAACTAATCCCTAGAAATTACTAATACCTACCTCATCGCTAAAAAAGCACATTTCACGGAAATTTGTCACTTTTAACTAACTTGAGCCTTCTTAAATGATCCATAAACGATCCTCAATTCTTCCTGCTTCACTGGCTAATAATGGCAAACAGAGGGTTCTCTCTTTTCACCATTTAAGCAAAACAAAAAAAGCCCAAATATGCACAAGTAATACTCATTGAAATTATATTAGGCATGAAGATAATAATTTCAAGGACTAATATTATGTCACCCCATTTGGCTCTTAGAAGCACGTTTTCTTTGCAACCCCACATGCATATTTGCCTTCCTAAAATTTGAACCTGGATAAAACGAATACCCAGGGCACATCCAGAAGTGTACATCGCTGTCCTGAAGTCAGAAGAAT